CCCCCCCCCTTTTTCTTCTTTCTGTTTTTGAGTGAGAAACCTTGTCTTTTTGTTTTTTTTTTTCAATTTAGAAAAATCCTTTGTGAGCAGTTTGCTGTCACATTAGAGTTTTCCGGCGGTTGCGAGCTGAAAAGTGCTGGGGCAGGAGCAATGAGAGGGACAGGTTCTGTGGCGGACAGAACGGTGTGTTGATTCTGTCGGCGACTTCCGTTGCTGCTGGGAATGTAGTATCGCTAAGGATGCACGCACACTAGCACTGTCTGGAACGTATCGGACCGCATTTACGGCTGGGGCTGGATGCATCTGGCTGCATATTTGCTCTTCAGAAAAAAAGCCAAAAAGTCCTAGTGCGAGCTTGACTGGCGAGAAAGTCGTCGTTGATTTTGTTCAGGACCAGGAACTTTTACTGCTGGGGCAGGCAGGAGCTCTCGCCGTTGATTTCGTCCTCAACGAGAAATTTTCTGCTACCCGCCGACAAGCTGGAGAGTACTCTGCGGCCTTCTCCAGTGAGCAACGAAATCAGCCGCCAAGATGCGCCTTCGGCCCTCGCATTCGGCGGGTTCAGGAGGGAGAGGAGGAGGGAAAGAAGAAGCTTGCAACCCACCAATTTTCATCCAGGACCGGAGTTTTTCTGTCCCGGACAGAAAGTGGCTGATACCGTCGAGGACCTGGAATTCATCCAGGATCAGGAATTCTCTATTGCTTGCTCGAGCTGCAACGTGCTGGGCAGGACTGAAGAGATGGAAAGTTCTTGTCCCGGACACGAAATCGTCGATTACATCCTCGATGGGAAGTCCTCTTGCAATGGGCTGGCTTTTCACCATTCATCCTACGAACACCAGGCTTAACAGAATGCGACTGTGAAACGTCAGCTATAGGCAATTCCTTCTATTTTTTTTTCCCTGGGAGGAGGGGTCTTTTTTCCCTGGGAGGAGGAAGGGAGGGGAGGCGGTTCCTCCCCTCTTGAGTGGGGTTTATTGAAAGTATTGTCAGTTGCTCGTCTGCGCTCCTTTGGTGGTGGCGAGGTATACCTTTGCATGTTTAAGGACTCCGACAACGACTCGTCCTGCTCCCGCTATGTGTACTCACCGTAAAAGTGTTCCTCCCTGTATATTTGAGGGGGAAAAGAGAGTTTAACAATTATTATTAGATGAAGAGCAACCTTCATTACTGTGATTTTTTATGATTATTAGATTTCATGAGATGAATAGCAACCTTCTTTATCGTGTATTCGTACAATTTAAACAATTTGTGACAATCACAATTAAAATAATTCATTTACGTGGGGAAACATCGAGCAGTGTGCAACGGCATGGCCGGTTACTCATTTTCTTCTTGCGCCGTCTGCTCCTCCAATTGAGTATATGTTTGTGCGCAATGCTTTCCGCAACTACTGCGTTGCTAATACAACGTGCCGCTGAGCCACAAGGCGGCATAAACATTTTAGTGTACACGTTGCTTTGGTTCTACCGTCTTCCGCTGAATATAATGCATGTGCGTTGTATTCGAATGAAGCAACCGATGCATTGTATGTTCAGTTACACCAACGGGCAGTTCTGTCTCATTCATTCTCTCTCTCTCTCTCTCTCTCTCTCTCTCTCTCTCTCTCTCTCTCTCTCTCTCTCTCTCTCTC